AAAAAAAGAAATCAAAACTGTGCCAAGTTTTTAGATAGGTAGAATTTTTAAGATCTCAAGTTTTAGTATCTTCTATAGAATAGTAACCTATAAAATTCCAAATTTTCAATTGATAGCTGTCTTCCTACAAATATTCATTGGCTAAATATAAATTTATCAGAACTATAGCAATGTTACTTTTCTACAATATAGCACCTTCCATAAAATGAGTAACTACCCATAAAAGAAATGACTTAATTTACCCTAAAATTTGTTTAATTAATGTAGTTTGCCTTCAAGTTCATATTGGTTTAATTAGTAGTCAACTAAAAATTAAGATCAAATAGATTTACCTTAATGTCTGATAGGCAAAACAAATCTAACATGCCAAATAACCAAGACTTATACGGTTGCAATAGTCAAAACTTTCCAATTAATGAGTAGATAGTGTTATTTACCTAGATGAAACTGGGCTTTGTTCTTATCAAGCCATTCCTCATCCCTTTCCCCACAGTTTAAAACCTCAAGTGATGTGATACTGTTGTAAACAGAAGAATGGAAGCCCAGTTTTACCAAGATTTTTCAAAATTTTTTATTCTGAAATAATTACAGATTCATAAGAAATTGCCAAAAAAAAAAAATCAGACAAAGTAATTGTTCAAATTTTCTCTACAAAGTTTTCTTTAGGTTTACTCTTCATTAATTTTGTGGTGAATAGGAAACCTGAGGCTAGATGAAAAGGAACTGGTCAAAGCACCAGATGACAACATACCAACTACACAAGGGAAAAACACGAAAACAGAAAAGAAGAAGGAAAGAGATGGAAAGGAAAGGAAAGAAAGAAGGGGGGAAATAGGAGAGGAGACAGGAGAGAAGAGACAGAAGAAAGTAGAGAGGGAAGAGAACAAAGAAGGAGGAAGAGAAGAGAAATGAGAGTAACAGTCTATGAAGTAAGACCCCCGCACCCCAAGTAACTGAAGGTGTAGGGTCTATGTCAGAGACAGAGAACACGTCACAGACCCTGATGCCAGCGTCCTCTGATAAGCCCAGGATGAGTGAAGAGAGGCTCTTTTCCAGAAGCTCCAGCAGGATTGATGTATTATATTAATAATAGGGACCATCTACTCACATCTTTAATCCTGCCTACTGCCTAGAGAAACAAATCACAACAAGGGTCCTCGCTAGTATTAATAAACATTCTCAGCTGAAATGTCATCATAAATTTATTAATTTCATAGTTCCTAGCACATTCTGATTTTTCTTAAAAAACCATGTTTACTTTTTATTTTTTAATTCTAATTTAATTTTTAAAATTTAACATTTGGCATTTCTATCCTATCATACCAGAAAACAATAAACCGACCAAGCTACCCAAGCTTTAAAGAAAAAATTATAACTTTTAACTTTTATTAAGCATGAAACAGATTTACTTCATATCTATTGCACATTGGTTTCCAAACTTTCTGCATGTCACAATCACTTGAGGATCTTTTTAAAACTTCAAATGACCAGGTCACAATCAATACCAATTAAATTTTAAAAGTCCGGAAGTGAGAATCTGGTATCAATATTTATTTTTAAAAGATGTTTGATTAACAATGACATAACAATAATTACACTAATAAAAACCTTGTCATAAATTGATTAATTTTAAAAAATGAACATTGGTTATTCAGCTTAGATAGCAAAATGTTTAAGTACAGGCTGGGTGCAGTGGCTCACACCTATAATCCTAGCACTTTGGGAGGCTGAAATGAGAGAATCACTTGAGGCCAGGAGTTCAAGACCAGCCTGTGCAACATACCAGGACCCTGTCTCTACAAAAATAGGAAAAATTAGCCAGGTGTGGTAATGTGCACCTGTAGTCCTAGCTACTTAGGAGGCAGAGGCAGAAAGATTACTTGAGCCCAGGAGTCTGAGGTTGCACTGAGCTATGATGATGCCACCATATTGTGGTCTGAGCAACAGAGTGAGACCCTGCCTCAAAAACTAATAACAAAATAATAAAAATAAAATGTTTAAGGATAAGTGTGAAGCATTGAAAGTAAATATTTTCAAAAATATCTGTAACCTTGGGTTTCATTATTATGCATGTAAACTTGCAACTTTTCAATTACAAAAAGTAAAATAATGAGAAGGCATACATAATTCACCTAATTGGCAAAACTTTTTAAAAATTACAATAATTAATGAGACTAACATAAACAATTCATAGGACTATTGTTACAGCTTTTACAGGGAAATCTATTTTTTTTTTTGTTTGAGACAGAGTCTCACTCTTCTTGCCTGGGCTAGAGTGCCATGGCATCAGCCTAGCTCACAGCAACCTCAAACTCCTCGGCTCAAGTGATCCCCGCCTGCCTTAGCCTCCCAGGTAGCTGGGACTACAGGCACGCGCCACCGTGCCCGGCTAATTTTTTCTATTTTTAGTTGTTTTTGGCTAATTTCTTTGTATTTATAGTAGAGATGGGGTCTCGCTCTTGCTCAGGCTGGTCTCGAACTCCTGAGCTCAAGCAATTCTCCCACCTCAGCCTCCCAGAGTGCTAGGATTACAGGTGTGAGCCACCATGCCCAGCCTACAGGGAAATCTAGTAATTCCACTGCTAGAAGAGTAAGCAAAAGAAATAATAATTTCGTGCCCAAGATGTATCTATAAAAAATTATGACTAGTACAAATTAGACTTTTATATTTATTACAAATGCCATAAAAGAATATTAAATGGCATACAGAGCTTCATAATACTGTTTACATATAAGCCAGTCACAAAACAGTTACAAAATATGTATATGTCACTTAAAAATAGATTTTATATACATGAAACTCACTTGCAGTTGAACTGAATTGTGTCGAAGGCCTTCCACAATAGGAAAAAATCTGTCAATTTTTCTTTCTTCACCAGCTGAAGTTAAAGCTTCTAAAACTTCTTCAAGGCTATTGGAAATTTTGAACCTATTAATTAAATTGTAAGTAGCAAATAACACAAATGCCATATTACACTTGCTTCATCCTATTAAAGAATACTCCTAGGGAACCAATAACATTTTAGAAGTAGCTTACTGAGTACATGGCATGTATAAAGCACTGTTCTAAGCATGTTTATGTTTTAATTCATTTATTCCTGACAATAATGCTGTGAAGACATTTATTTATCAAGCACTTACGCAATGCTTACTATACGTTAGGTACTGTTTGAACCACTTTACAAATATTAACTGATTTTAAAGTATTTAACAACGGTATGAGGTAGGTGAAGTATTATTAGCTCATATTATAGATTAGGAAACTAAGGCAGAAAAAGGGTAAGTAACTTGTCCAAGGTCTCACACCTACTAAATGGTGGAGTAAGGATCTGAAACCAGTAAAGTACTGTTGAAGTGGAAAATTGGAAAATTCCACTAAAGTGGAAAATTCCACTACCGGGTTTCCTTCCTTGCACCCTTTCCCTGGGCCTCCTCCCCTGCCACCCCCTCCCCGCCCCCTGCAGCTGCCACCCTCATAAATCACCTGTAGCAATTAGAGTACCAGACCGTGAAGTAGCTTAGGACTGTGCCTCACTAAAGTTAACCCTGTTGTAACCGTGCCCCTCCTCCTTAAGCAGAGTGTATAAAAGACTGCTATGCTCTTTGTCTGGTGCTCAGAATTTGGGGAGAGCAAATTCCCCTCTGAGCCTTGCCAGCCGGTGTGAAATAAAACCTGTTTTTGCCATATCTCCATGTGCTACTTGGTCTATTCCCGGTCAGCTCTGCTGCAACACTGTTATATATATTACTTTCTAAATCTGCCTTACATATAGATTCTCAAATAGTAATACGCTTGTTTATCTGAGGGGATAGACATGACCTATGGTTTGAAATAATTCTTTCTGAAACAAACATCAGATAAGAAACAGAATTATTTGTATATTTTCCTAAGTCTTCATTTGGAATTTTAATTGGGGTTTAAGTTCAAAACAGTTTTAATATGATGAAGGAATCAGTTTTTCATTGAAACATTTTAGCCCATAACTCATATTATCAATTGAGAAATTATTACTCGAACATTTCTTTGCAGCCAATAAGAATCTTAATCAGCTGTCTATACCTCAATATTTATTTATTTAAAGTAAATTCTAAGATTAAAGTAGAATAGATAATGAAACATTAAATGAATCAAGCTGTATTAAATTATTACATAAGTAGAGGAAAAAGTTGAGAACACTTACATGCTTTCCTCCCCTACAATACACATTGCAGAGAGAAGTTTAACCACATCTGTCATCATATTGGGGTACATGGGATCCATGGCTTTAGCCAATAAGGAAAGACTCCTCTCTTCACTCATAATTCTTTCCAAGCCATACTATAAAATTTTGAGAAGAAGAGGTTAAATGTTAGGAGTTATTTGGAAAAATAGGGCCCTAAAGGAAATGTAGTTATTCAAAAACTTTTATAGAATAACACACTTACTAAAGTGTAAAGATATAAAGGCCATGTAACACCTTAAAAATTCATGAAGGTAATCATTTTATGTCAAGAACTAATGGTGATTTCACAATAATATAACTGATAATTATTAAGACAGGTAAGTGGTCAACTGGAGAAAGGGAGAAGCAGTGAGAAATATGGGACTTCCCAAAAAGAATGTACAAAACAAACAGCCAGGTATCGAACCAGACTCTGAGACCATGAAGACCTTTTTCCTGGGAAGAGAGATCTTACCACAAGTAAATGCACAGATTAGCACTGTTTGAGAGAAATGCAATGTGAACCACATGATGAATTTTAAATTTTTAAGCAGCAAGTAAAACTACTTTCAGCAAAATTAATCAAATATATCCAAAATAACATTTCAACTGTAACCAACATGAAACATTTATTGATGACATTTCATTTCTTTTTCTTCCTAAGTATTTGAAATGCAGTGTGTATTCTACATTTATAGCACATCTCAATTCACACTAGCCACATGTCAAGTGCTCAAAAGCCACAGTAGCTACCACATTATACAATGCAGGCCTAGATATTAACACTTACTTCATAAATGGGCAAGAGGTAAAGGATGATTTGGGCAGACAACATGTAGAAACTGACATAATGTAGTCTAATCAGAATAATTTATCATCAGGAGAGCAATGCACTTGTAACCTCATTACTTAAATGGGACAATTTGGGATAAGAATAAAGTTTGTCTGCTAAAGCCAGGATGTCACATCCAATTAGAAGATAAGGAGTTATGTTAATGACATATCTGTGAAAGATAACTATCAAAATACAGAGGATGAATAGAAGCAATAAAATAGTACATTTACCTATCACATATCTCAGAGGATCTTTCTAAAGAGTGAGAAATTGGTTAATCAGAGTTACTACCAAGCACTAAAAAAGGGCCTTAATCCCAATTACAGACCTATGAACTATGGCTTAAACTCAAATTTAGCACTACATATAAGCAAAGCTGAATCCATAACAAGTTTAGACCCAAATGCTTTGATTATTATACAATCCTATTTATAACTTTCCTATATTGTATATGGCATTTATGCCAAGAAACTTTCACAGTGTGCTAAAATATTGCATTTGCTTTAAACCACTATCTAAAGAACACAGGTACAACGGAAGAAGTATAACCACAAGGGCCAGGGGCCCCAGGATAAGACTTCTGGAGAGACTTCTCTGTCTTGTTGGTGATAGAGAAATGTTTACAAGACAGCTAAACAGTCAGGAAATGCTTGCTTTTCTGATGCCCTGGGCTGTTACATAACTGGAAACAAAGAATAAATAAGTAGGCGTAGGGCCAGAAACTACAAGATGCCTCAACAATCATTCCAGGGAATTGTCAGCAGTTTATAAAGTACTACTTAGATTCAATTCAGAAAGTCAGTCAATGAATATAAAAGTACCAAAGAGCTGGCTCTGTCCTAATAAACCTGAGGACTGAGTAAAGCTTGCTTCTGGCATTTCTCCTTTATTTCCTACACACCTGGCTGTCCTTAGCTAGCATCCACCCTTCTAGAGTCAGAATCCTGTGACTCCTCCAGCCATCCAAGGCAACTCATGCTCATTTCCTCCAAGTGATACTACGTACCTCCTCAGTCAAGCCCTCTGGCCCTAAACCACTGTGTATAAAGAGTGGAATATGAGCATTCTCCAATTTCACGGTTTTGTCCATCATCCTGTGACCCCAAAGGTCCATCGCAGTCAGCATTCTCTGATTTTGCTAATGCAAAAATGTGTAGTGCTTACTCTGAGACTAAAATGAGGCCAGATTACCACAATTCAATATCTATAACTAAATACAGAACTGCTATTTGTAAAAAGTTACATTCAATTATTCAAAACACAAAGCAAAACAAAATAAAAACTGTTGACTCTGTGTGAGAAATAGTCAGTCAACTTACCAGTGCTAGCATTAAAGTGCATTTAATGAAGGCTATTAAAGGTTAGAGAGGCTTGACAAATTTTGGAAGGTTTAAGAACGTATCTTTCCTGAATGTCAAGGACCCACTTTGGTTAATATGATAGCTGGCCTGTTCTAAACTGAGGACCAAAGCCAGGTTCTATTTGCATTCTACACGAGGCCTATTATTACCTAATAGATGGAATTTCAGGCCATCGAATATGTTGTTTTAGGTAGAGGAAAGTTAAAACCGTAAATCCCTGTGTAGGCTGCCCAATATCTGGGCCCACACTACATGAATACTGGTGCTGAGCAACTACCCATGGTGAGTTAACCCCAGTAGCAGAGATAATGTGGGTAAAGGGGCTGGCTTCAGAAGCAAAGCACCCTTGTTTTTGGGTGCACATTTCAAAGCTACACACATGAAGTTAACTGATCAAAATGAAGCTTCTGTTCTAATTACCCTTAAATTCAAATAGATTAACTTTTCATCCTTTTATTTTCTTCCTCCTAGGTAATTAAAATCTTTTTCCATTGTAAAAATACTTTTTGTCTAATTTAATGTTATAAGAAATTCACTTTCATGTGATGTTATTAAATTTGCTCATTATGTTAATTATATAATTATTTGTACCAAATAAAATACCACTTTTTTCCTCTCTTAAAAGCCTGCATTTCTTCATTCAATGAACTCTAATAAAGACTGCACAGTGAGATTTAGCAAATTTTTTACTTAGAAATATGATCAGATAAAATTTAAGAAAACCATCAACCAATCTTGAAGGAAAAAAACTTTCCCAAAAACTTCACATATTACCAAGTTTAGCATTCAGACACTATAATACTAAGTATATCAATAACTCAACTTTTTATTCTTATTAGCACATATAATAATAGCACCAAATATAAATGGCAACATTTTATACTTCACAAACATAAAATATAAGCAACAAAATGTTAATATAAAAGAATAAATATTAATTAGAATATAAATACATAAAGTTTACCTC